ATCAAGATGATGGTCAGATAAGTGGGGCTTCAGTCTTTTCCAATAAACTAATTTGGGAAAACATCTCAGACAGGCCCCTCCTGAGCTCACATAAAGGTAAAGTGTGGAAGGAGGGGAAGCACTTTCAGACTTGCAAGATTCTGTTACTGTAGCTGTTATAATAAAAATAGTTCTAGACCTATGTGGTGTTGGTTTCTTAGTCTGGTCTATCTCTAGGGCTGACAGAGAACAGTAGCTCAGCAGATAACACAGGAAGCATATTAGAGGACAGCATGTGTTATCATAAACACCATTCTCATGTAAGCCACCCATTTCTCCATTTCTGCTGCATTGACCACCTGTTTGACAGAATAAAAAGAAACTATATCATTGGTTAATGAACATCACTTCCAGTAATATTTTACTCACCTATGCAAGCGTGCAAAATGTTAGGCTTATGGATGGCAAGGGTTCAAATTCTTTAATCCATATAGTTTGGAGATCTCCTGTTCTTCTACTCAACATCTGAATGCAGGAATTGCCTCTGGGAGAACACAGAGTTGGAAGGGGTCATCCTGATACGATCTTTGGGATTTACTGAGGCCCTGGTAATAGAAAGATGATACCAGGGCTTTGATATGGAAATGCAAGGGGACAGTTAATGACCAAGATAGGATTTGGAGGGTAGGATCTCTTTTATGGTATTTAATGAGATGCATAATTGTTGCTAAGCAAACACTTCCCGCTGCTCACATTTTCTTCGGAATTATTTCATTACCTCCTTGCAGAAATGTAGAGAATGCCTTGAAACACCTAAGTCTGCTCTCTTCTGAATGACGACGATAACAACAATTATCTGCATTGTATTATGAGCAACAGCAAATATACATTGAAAAATAAATCAGTAACAAAAGTAAAGGAATAAAAGATGCTGATGTTTTAAACTGGGTCTGAAAATGGCTAGCTGTTTGTAGTTTATTTTATTGTTGTAAAAGGAGAGAGAGGTTGAACTGCTTTTTTTAAAAAAAAATCTTTCAGCAGTATTTAGGTTGGTTAAATAAGATGTAAAAACTTATAGACTTACATAAGACTATACAAATAGATATATGCAAATACGAATGCAAGCATGGAAGAATTTTCACTTTGCTCGTGCTTTGTTTTGGAACATGCCTGTCTAGGATAACTTAAACTGTCAATGCCTTTCTCTGGAATGGAATTTTTCATCCGTTGGTTGTGCCTGTGATAAATATTGCCCATCATCAGAATCTTAAATGACCATTTTGACAGCCAGTGAACATACTAGAAGAACAAAAGAAAATCCAGAATGATTAGATTGAGGTGCTATAAATATGTCAGTCAATCAGTCAGCTAAGCAGAGGGAGGGAGGGAGGGAGACCGACCGACCGACCGACCGACCATCCCAGGGGACTATTTTATGTAATGTTTGGGTCAGCATTCTAGGTCCTGAGCATTTTTTTAGGATTTCAAAGTTTCCAGTGGCAAGAATCAAAGCTTCTGTTCCTTGTATAAATTATGTAGAAGAAGGAATTTCAGCAGATATAATTTGCATGCCATCATCTGCTGTGATGCTTTCTTACATACAACTATTAAAGATGGAGGGACCCTCTTTGGTGCATACCAAGAAGTTGGAAAGCATGGCCTGGGTCTCTATCTTCATTTATTCAATTTATGTCCCTCCCTTCTTCCAGGGGCCTAAAATAGTGTAGATAGCACTTCCTTTTCCAGTTGTATGTGCATAACAGCAACCTTGTGAGAAAAGTGGGCTGAGAGCAAGTACCTGGCTCAAACTGACTCGTGGGTGTTTGAATGGGTGAGTGTGGACTTGAAACAGGGTCTCCTCCTTCTGACTCCAACATTTAACCACTTCCCCCTCCTGCCTCTTTAGGATAACATTCCTTCCATCAGACCAGGTGAAAAGAGATATTATAGTGGCTAATGAAATGGTGCATGTCTGTGCTGAATGTATCTGACATTCATTGTTCGGTAGCAGTTGTGGGAGGAGGATGGGCTGCAAGTTCATGCCATGTTCTCAGTGACTATTTCCTCCTTTAAGCAGTCATTCTGGACAAAACTCAGCTACATGAAATGCATGTCTCCATTCAATGTCTGGCAATGAATGAAAGTGAGCAAAGGGACAATGCCTTTTTATTCCTTCTGTTTCTTAATATCCCCCTCTCTTCTGGTGCCCAAAGAGTTTGAGGTGGCCAATCACCAGTCCAACTTTCATCTCTGCTCTGAACCTACCAGATAGATTAAGAAGCTTATGGTCAAGAAGAGTCATCAAGTGCTCCAAACCTCTTGAAATACATAGATAAAGGCTCTTTTGTTGTTGTTGCCGAGATAGGACAAGAGTGATTCCAGCACTTTTATCCCCCATGGAGCATGACCTACTCCAGGGTACTCACGTTTTGCATTTAAGCATGCAAACGTGTTAGCCTGTGTTGGTTTTGAATCAGGAACAGGAGGACAAGCAACTGGTCCAGGATAGAAGCAGGACCAGTTGACTCAAACAAAAACAGCATATCTAGCAAGTGCTTCCTTTGGGGGGGGGGTCCTCTGGTCTCTCCATTTTCCCAAGCTCGTTCCATCCAATTTCTCCTTCAGCTTCAGAGGATAAAACTTGGTAATACTTGGTAAAAACAGCAGTAGAAAATCATCATCCGTCCAACTCAAATGACCTGGCTGTAGTCAGTCCATGTTATATCATTTTTGCAAGCCATGTTTCATCATGTAACGTATCTTTTAAGGTCCATCAATATTTGCATTCTTGGTGTTTTTTGTGTGCCCCTTCCCCTCATGTATTATTTTTATACATAATTCGTATACATTTTCATCGCAAAATTCAGAGAAGTGTCACAGGGAAGGATAGCTTTGTTCCTCTTTGCATATTAGTTCAAAAAAGGAAGTGTAATTAGGGCATTTGTAAGTGCATTTATATGAAGATGTGAACCAAACACATTTCTCTCCATCACTAGGCATCACTAGGGAAACTAGGCAGTAACCACAACAAGGTTAAAATTTGATGCCCTAAAGAGCTGCAGACCACTAGAAATTAGATCACTGTAAGACCCATTATTTCATCATGTAATTCTTTCTACTACACAGTCCAAGCAGAAATGTATATTCTTGTTCCAAGATCCCCTCTCTAGAACCCACCATGACTATAACAACGGCTCCCACTCCTCCTAACAGCAATGTGAATACTTGTGGCACCACCCAAGTTCATAATACCCAGGTTCTTCAAGACACCATGATCCTTCCATCTGGGTTTTTCAAGGTTTCAGCCTTCAGGAATTATTTTCCATCTTGTTGGAAATACCTGCAGTATGCAGAGGTTGCTGAAGAAGAGATCATACGAGGTATTCTTCAGCCATGGTGAACCTCCAAAGAGCTACACTTGAGTAGGTTCACAAACGGACTTCCAAATTATGCCTTATAGAAAAAGGCAAACTGTTTTCAAGGAAGCCATGATGTGATCTTTCATTATTTATTTTCTCTGACGTGCTCTAGAATTTTCTTGAGGAGCTCTAGAATTTTTTAGAACACAATTCAAAACCACTGTCTTAATCTTGGTCTCTCCTCCTTCTCACACACCTTTGCCTGGCTTCAATATTACTTCTGAATCCTCACTCTTCTTGGCAGATAGATAACCTATATTTCAGGCAGTTTCAATGAAGAAATATGCACAGTGTGGATAATTTTCTACAGACCACATCTCAGAACCTTTCCGTGCATTACAAGCTGGATGCAGAGATGCTGTGGTGTTCAGAATATCTGTGTACTGGTATGTCAAAGGTTTAAATCACACACAGGGTTTTCTGTGCAATGTTGAGAAAGAGAAGCTTGGTTTCAAAAGCAAATAAACATAAGATGACATTGCAAGAATTCCAGTGAATGTCTTGTTCCACAGGGACTGCCTAACAAAAGCAAGCTAGAATAACAAAGTCATTGGCCCTTTCATCAAATTGCAGGCTCAGTCTTTATCAGTTTATTCCATGATAAATGAGTGTTATTCTTGGAGGTGGCCATCAGACTCCTGAACAAATGCCTCAAGTCACCCAGATAACATTTCCAATCACTTCGACGAGTTCTCTATCTCTTCCACCACCATTCTGAACTCAAAAATATGCTACCTTAGAAATGGTACTGTTCATTTTAAACAAAAGACGGTCTTGAGGATCATGGCTTGATTAACCATTTTCCCTGGCCATATTGTTAAAGAGCACCAATGAATTGGCAGGTAACATTTTGATCTGTTGGGACATAACAATAGCCCAGGTTGAAGAGCCCAAACGTACTTATGGTGGGAAGGGGCTGAGCTGCAAATTCAAGGGTTCACTTGTCAGAAAGTAGCAGGGTAAACAGCTAGTGGCTGGCCTGAATTTTATACCCATTCTTAAATGCCGTTTTATGATTCCTTGTGTTCAAAGCAAAGAAAAAACCCAAAACAAAATCCCACTCTCTTTTCCTGTCTCTCTTAAAGAATCTTTGGCACTGATTTTGTGCTCAACGCTGCTTTTTGCTAGGTTATTATATATATATTTTTTTTGCAAGATTAATGAATCCCAAAAAAATATCACTTCTCTAGTTTTGTTTTAACCTTTCTCGGTCATGAATACAGATTTAAGTCACCTTTTAGGATGTCTTCTCCAGATCGCATTACAAGAAACTATTTAATATAGCATTCATGTGGTCCCCGTTTTGCTTAGACAAAGAGGACAATTCCAGTGCAGGTGAAAAGCTTGGCATGTTCTAATCCCTTTTGATGAAAGTGGGTCTAGCAACCCTCTGTTAATCTGTTGTTCCCAATTTATTGTTATAGAAAGAGCCTGTCCCTGCAAGCGATGGCGGTTGGCTTCTCTAACACCATTCTACCTTCTTCCTTTTGCCTGAAGATCAGATCCAAGCCCTTTTCTACCTTGGCCTCTGGGCCTTGCCATTCCTTCTGGTGATTATGATGCTGCGATGAAGTTAACTCCTTTCCTTTCCCCCCTCCCCAGGTCTGAGAGCAGTCTATCTAAGTTCACACACCGGTTATCAGTTAAACAGAAGCAGGAGAAGAGGAGGAAAGCTGAGGATGGCTTGGCTGATCTGCCTGCCTTCCGTCCCAGGTCTCTGAGCACTGAATGGTAAGAGACGCAGGGGAGGGGGCGCAAGGAGAAGAAGCACATATCCCACCTGTCGCATCTTGAAATTGCAGTGGGTACCGTTTTCTTTGCAAGGCTCTTCCAAAGAGCAAGGCTCTTGCAAAGAAACATCCGAGAACAAAACATTCTCTTGGAAGAGAGAAATAAGTAAACAAGGTTGGGACTTCTTCTCTGATGGAACACCGTTGGGTGTAACTCCATCAAATTCCATCTTTTGATTCTCTCTCTCTTAACATTCTTGCTTGCATTCTGAGGGTCAGCAGGATCTCAGCTAAGGCATGCTCCTAGGGAGTTTAAGGCCAGAAGCTCAGGTGAGCCTTTTCAAAACAGTTTGCTTCCTTGCCATTTTTATACCACTGATCCTTTTGAGGGTCACCTAATAGGTAAAGGGGAGATGCATATCTTTCTGCATGTGCCAGAACTGATTGTTAGTGAGTAGATGCATATCTGCCCTTCATATGTTTTCCCAGAGGGTGGGGAACTCTGTGCTCTCTCCCTGAGGCAAGCCACTGAACCAGGAGTTGTTGGTCCCACTCCTGAACCTTAATCAGAAACATACAAAAGAAGAGCTGATTCTCAGGAGTAGGGGAGCCAAAAGCTTGATCTTTCTTTTCGGTTGTCGCTTCATCATGCTGCTAGCATGTGGATCTTCTGAATCATTCATCACACGCACAAGCTCCAGCTTGGCACACCTCTGCTTTGTCCAAACTAAAAAGGTTTGTGATGGCATGCCAAATTGCAATTTCTGCTTGTGACAAATTGTTCAGAGGAGGCATTTGCTGTCTTAAGATTCAGTCCAGGCTGTCAAATAAAGCAGCTGGTTGTGGACCAAAAACGGTCTTCGTGCAATCAAGATTCAGAAGCTGCTTTTGTATGGTTATTGTCATGGGAGAACCCTATACAAAGGAACGAGGAACTCTTGTGCATTTCAGCCACACCTCTTGACAGTGTATACATTTTAAAGCATTGTGTTTCTCTATGGAATTGCAAACTGCAGCAAGCTGAGATAACAGATTTGTAACTTTAATTCCATACCCAAATATGAAAGCGGTAAGTTAGAATACCCAGTTGTGACAGTTATGAGTTAAAATTTATGTAGAGGAGACACAGCTCAAAGTGGAAGTGAATTTATGATCATTATCCCACATTAACACTGGATTTTTCCCAAGACCCCAGCCAAGGTGGAGTTTGATCAGATCTAGGAAGGGGAAGAAGTCCAAGATAGGGGTCAGAACCTTTGATCCAATGGTCTGAAACCAATACAAGTTTGAGAGTAGTAGAGTAAGACATCAAAGAGGCCATTAAGACTGGAGCAAAAAAGGTCCTTTAAGGCAAAATATTGGCAGTGAAGTAGACAAAGATATGTGAAATTCTCTATTGCGGCATTTTTTACTAAACTAGAAGATATTCCATGCACCGTTACCCTTAAAAATTGCAGTCTTACATTCATATTCCCTCTCATTTTGCACAATACCTAAAAAAATAAAAACCGAACAGCCCTTAGCCAAGTCCTTAATTTCCTCAATCCTGCCTATATCATTGGCAAGAGACAAAGAAACATGGAATGTTATGACATTTAGACGTGTATAAGTTCTACCAGAGATTACAGGAGGAAAGTTAAATATGTGTCTACTGGTTTTGGCAACAGCTACACATTTATTACTATATTTAGCTTGATTTTTTTGTAACATAGAAAGATGGTCAAATCCATTAAGGACGTTTGAGGAGGCGGGGGGGGGGGAAAGTACTTAGATGGTATATAAGTGACTATAGGATCAGTGCCATTTAATCAAATGCTAATTCTGTAAATGAGCCGGGAATTTCATTAAGAAGGGAGAGAGCGATGCTTCATAGCAACACATCTTTGACAGGGAGAAGAACACAGACAATTGCACCCTTAAATGGATTAATTTGTTATAATGTACATACTAAATTAGAACAGCACATTGTGATAGTCATATGAGAAAGGGAAAAGACAGTAGTTTGAAAACTAGCCAGATGGCAAATCTATATAATGTGTAAACATTATCTGGGAATTCAAAGACGAATGGGAGGGGGGAATCATCTTTGGAAGTCTTGCAAGCTTCTTCCAAGTTGCTGCGTCGGTCTATGAATTCACGCCTTATTTATTTATTTAACATATTTTATGCCACCACAATCAAAAAAGACTCTTGCCAGCTTATATAGAAAAGATAGAAGTTAAAACATCCACGGTAAAAATAAAATAACTGCTGAAAACCATTCCAAAGTAAAAGCTGTACAATGTAGACGAAGTAGAGGTGGCCATGTTCACATCAAGAGAAAGTCCTTTTGTTCATGTTGGAGGAAAGCGAAGAAGGCCGCTTGCATAAAACAGATGCCATGCCAGCCCAAATGTTTCCTTAACCCATTTATTTATTCATGTATTCACTCATTTGTCATTTCAATTTCCCCATGCGCAAATGGATCTAGGTGGCTTACAAAAGGTTAAAAAGAAACAGTTTGGTCCATTAAAAAAAAGTAATAGCAATACAGCCATGGTGGTGGTGGGGGAACACAACAATGAAACAAACTGAGTAACTTCAGTCGTGGGTTCACTCCACATCCTGACCCAGTGCCTGCGGGAACAGCCGGGTCTTTAAAGCTCTCATAAAGGAGAGCAAGGTTGGAGTCCCATGGACCTCGGAACAGATTATATATATATATCTTTATTAAAAATTTTAAAAAGAAAGATAAAAACTAACAAGAACTAATATTAGAAATGAAAAAAGAGAGGAAAAGAAAGAAGAAGAAAGACAAAGTCAAAAGTGCAGAGAAGGAGAAAATATAAAAATGTAGCTTCCGATTTTCTTTATGACAGTTATAGATATAAATGTAAATTAACCTCTTGCTCTATGGTTACCACATGACTTACATTTTTTAATGTAATCTGTTTTTTTCTAATCATCAAAACCATATGTCATAATTTCATTTTTTTTTTTCTGTTTCACGCAAGAAGTCTATAAAGGGTTTCCGGTCAGCGTTAAACTTAGATAATGTCTTTTCTCTGATCAAAGAAGTCAGTTTAGCCATCTCTGCAAGTTCCGTCATCTTCACCATCCAATCCTCCATGGTGGGTAGTGCTGAATCTTTCCATCTTTGTGCATATAATAGTCTTACTGCAGTTATCATGTATAAAAACAAAGCTCCATGACTTTTTTCCGAGGAATGAATGCAGTTCTTAAGTCCAGGTGCCACAAGTGAGAAGACACACCTTTTGTAAGGTGACATTGTTTAATAGATGGGACCCAGGCCACACAACCTTGTCGAATTTTACTGGACAGGCAGACACAACTGGGGTGGGTGAACAACTCAAACTTTTCCATAGCGAAAGATGACTATAAAGGAAAGGATTTCTGGGTATCAGCCATTGTATGAATGCTTCTTGTCAGGTTCAGCCCAAAGAACTCCCCGAGACAGTGGAGATACAGTTCTGTTGTGTTTATTAGCTTCCACCTCAAGACAGAAATCTCTCCAGGCTGAACCTCAGTTCCCAAGCCAGCCAGCCACAACACCGTGAATTCCTTAGGGAGGTGCCAGCCTCATCTTCTTGAACTTCCCACGCTCCTGTTGGGGGCTAAGAACATGCTTATCTCCCTGACCCTGGCCTTCATAAGTCCATTCCATCATACTTCTAGATGTTCAGCGTCCAACAACTTACGCATGGCACTTTTGCTCCTCATATTAAAATGCTGAGTTGTGTTTATCCACGCGGCAGAATAAAGCAGAAGAATCCTGCAGTTCAGTCTACCTTCTGCAATTCAGTCAACCTTCAGACTGAATTTAGAGGCAGTCTGTGCTCCCCCCAAATTATTAGCTCCAACCTCAAGACAGAAATCTCACCAAGCTGAACCCTAGTTCCCAAGCCAGCCAGCCAGCCAGCCAGCCACAACACCGTGAATTCCTTAGGGAGGTGCCAGCCTCATCTTCTTGAACTTCCCATGCTCCTGCTGGGGGCTAAGAACACGCTTGTCTCCCTGAGCATGGCCTTCATAAGTCCATTCCATCACACTTCTAGATGTTCAGCGTCCAACAACTTACGCATGGCGCTTTTGCTCCTCGTATTAAAATGCTGAGTTGTGTTTATCCATGCGGCAGAATAAAGCAGAAGAATCCTGCAGTTCAGTCTACCTTCTGCAATTCAGTCGACCTTCAGACTGAATTTGGAGGCAGTCTGTGCTCCCCCCAAATTAAAAAACAAAACATGCTCCTTGGAATGACAATTAGCAGCACAAAAGCCATTTTCCCTCTGTCTCCCTTGTGTTTCCGGGGGGGGGGGGGGACCTGTAAACCCTTGATCCAACATCTGCAGTCTGTTTCTCCTAGGGGTAGACAAAGTGTTTTGTTTTGAATAATTTGGTACACCAAATATTTGTGAAACTTTCCCCTTCAAGTGGGAAATTGCTGCACTGAGTACGAAGTGGGTTATTTTGAGCATCCTGGCGGTATTTGGAGTTCAAAATATCTCTGTTTGAGTGCTGAGCTTTCTGCTCCAATTCAGAACACTTCCAAAATGCAGGAAAAAACTGGTTTTGCCCTTAGAACAGCAGTTTCACACTCCAGAGAGAAAGCTTTGCTCAGCTTTGCTTGAAATGGTTCAAAACAAAACAGGTTTCACATCCCTAATTTCTAGCATTCTGGACAATTCCCACTTTATTTTTATGAATGCTCAGAGCAAGCCGTAATCCTGCAAATCTTGAGTTTTCAAATCATATTTTACAAGCCACGGAGTCCAGAAGTCATGGATTGCCCAACCCCGCTGTTCATTTTCTCAAAAGATGAGAAAAAAGTCTTATGTTGGATATTAACGATCTGTCTGTGGGATCTAAGAACTGTTGGTAAGAGCCCTTGAGCAGTAAACTACTTATTTTTAGCAGGCTATGCTGCATAATTGCATATCTTTCCTCTGACAATTTCACTTTGGAAATCCGTACAGTCTCTTTTTTTAATCCGTGTCTGAGATT